CGCTGATGAGGAAGATCTAGTAGCAGTAGAGTTCCTTGTGAAAGAGTTCGTCCAGGGTAAACGGGGCCACCTTAACTATTTCTGCGGCCAAGCAGTTCCGGTTTTGAAGGGTAAGGGTGCTGGTGAAATTACAGGCACGTGGGATTTGTCAGCTTATGTCTTAGGGTGACAGGCGCAGTGACAGTGGAGGCACTATCCGGTCTGTGCTGTGCGATTTAACGCTCTGAGTGGCACTGCAATTGCACTTGATATTATAAAAAAAGAGATCTTCGTGAATCAATGATTTTAGTCTATTTTCAAAAGGTGGTATGCAATTGTGTACATACGTAGTAAGACAGTCCTCATACTTTATCAAAATTGCTATTTAAATAATTCTAAAGTATTTCCTATAGTTTCAAGAGAGTTATTAATTGTACACATTTTTGTAGTAATTTATTAGTGGCGGTAGTAAAAGGAGAAAGTGCAAAAATAACTTGTACTTAATCGTGTTATATATAATTTCTTAATAAGGTTTCAGATTCAGGTCTTAATAACAGCTACATTTTATTGTATAACAGCAATATGTATTTTACCATGCATGACATGTTAGTGTTTGAAATTCTTGAAATTATGCCATTGTCCCATTGCTGTATGATACAAGAAGCTCTTGTTATGATCTTTTCAATAATGTTATACTTGATAAAGAACACTTGAGATATGCCCTTTTTAAAAGTAAAAGGTTCATACCATTCGGATATATACCAATTAAAAATCGAAAGCATAAAAACCATGACAAAGTAAGAAAGGAAAAATTGTACAGTGAAACCGAAAACCGAACCGAACCTTGAAAACAAGGGATTAAATTGAGTGTGGAATTTGGACTGTAGGAGCATTTTTTAGTTTAAAATAACTTTTGTATTCTATCACGCTTGTTTGTTTTAGAGACGCTGTTTTATATCATTCGCCCCAATTTATTACGGACAGGTGATCTTTTAACCAGAGTATTATATTTAGTAGCAGTAGAGCTCCTTGTGAAAGAGTTCGTCCAGGGTAGAACTGCCACCTTACCTATTTCTGCCGCCAAGCAGTAATGTCAACATTACTGTGTTCCGGTTTAGAAGGGTAAGGGTGCTGGTGAAATTACAGGCACATGAGACTTGTTTACTTATGTCTCAGGGTGACGGGCGCAGCGGCAGTGCCCTTCAGGTCTTTGCGATTTAAAGCTCTGAGTGGCACTGCAACTGTTAGGTACAGGCGTGTAGCTTACCATCAGGCCGCACGACTTGTTCGTCCCGTCATTTGATATTATAAAAAATATATATGTATATGTAAAGTTCACTGCTAGGTCTGGATCTCATGAGGAGGTCACATAACAGTTTACCAGAAAGTTATAAGGAGGTTTATCCATCAAGTTTTTTCCTACAAAACAATACATGGAAGATTTGTTTTGTATGATGACCGAAGGGAAAATGGGCCGGTGTTGTGAGCTGCAGGAAATGCGGATTTGGTGCTAACGATGAGTTAGTAATACCATACGAAATATAGGTACTTAGTATTTATTATACTCGTAACACAATGTACAAAAGTGGTCTCCAACCACTAGGAGCATAACTAATGAGAGAATAACAAAAATATGTCATAAATGAGCACATTAAGAGTTGAATTTACAATTTGTATAGGAAGATAAAAGATTATAAATACAAAGAGATATGAAAAGATTTGTAGTGCCGCTGCGGTTTGTTATAGGGGTGACGTCACAGTTTAGACCCGCGTAGGTAGCATCATAGCATAGATACACTATTTAAAGTGTACAATTAGATACTGAAATGTACCTACCTATATTGGTACAGCTTACATTAGGCTGGGATTATATTAAGTAACTGCTTCCGTGGCTGAACGTACGTAACCATGACGGCCTGTCACGCAGAGGTGCCGGGTTCGATTCCCGGGCTGGGATAAATATTTGTGTGGCCTATATTTAATTCTCTCGTGAGTTTGGGTGTAATTTGTGGTTGTCTAGGTATGTCCATAGTATCGATGGTACAGAGTTTCCCTAGTGCGGGGCTAGACCGGTTTAGACCATCTTGTTGAAGTGGCATAGGAATGTAAAAGTTTACTAAAAAGACAGCACTATTTAATTATGTACAATTAGGCATTTTATAAATTTTGAACATTGGTACACTAGGCTGGGCTTCATATTTCAAAGTGTACTATAATTGTCCGTTCGTAAGAATTCGGTTCACAGTAAAAGTAAATACGATAAGAGCATGACTAATCGTGCGAATAGTCAATTGGATACGGTTCCTAGTATTTATTTTTGGTATTGCTCTACATTAAGATACTGGTACTGCATCGTCGTTGTCGGAAAAAAGGTGTTCCACATATTAATTTACCGGACATCCGGAATTCAAAACCGTTTTGAATACCAGATTTACCGAAATGGTTTATTGCATCGCAGGACAAAACTACTGACCTAGGAAGTCAAAGTGGGATTTTAAAGTAATTCTTATGGTGCTGTGTAAAAAATGCAGTAGATGACTGACCGTTTACCAAAACAGAATAAAAAAATTACGAGAATTGTCATTCTCCGCCCCTCTCTAGCTTTTGATACCGCTTATTGATGGTCACATTGACGGAACGGCATTTGCAAGTAGAACTTAAGAGAAAAATTAATTTAAAATTTTATTTACAACTGGAATTTTAGGACATTTTAGTTTGCATGAGAATCGTTGTGATCGCGCCCAAAAAATATTTTCTTTAAATTCAGAAACACAATATAACAGATGTTAATTTTTAACGGCTTAACCATGTACGGCTATTTATCTTCATACATAGAATAAAGAAAGGAGTTTCTTTCATCCGGAAATCCGGAATTCGAAACAGTAATTAATTATATTTGGTGGTTTTTACAACTCTACGTCGCTCCTTGTAGTTAGCTAGCTACATCTATGCATGTATCTATACATCTGGAACTCCTTTTTCCGACCATTGGTGATTATAGTTGTTTACTTATTGATTGCAATGTTGTAATGTACATTATATCTACTTATAGAGCATTCGCTCGTTCGCATTATAATGCCATTGTGTATCAACTTGTGGAGATAGCAATGAACTGACACGACACTACGCTGTAATTAAATTAAAATATACAGTAGATATCGATAGAGCGAGCAGAAATTCTGTTTCGTTTATTTGATACTTGTTCAGTTATAATTAGTGAGATTATTTGTGAAATAACTGTACTAGTTTTGTTATTTGTTCAGTAAATTAATTTCAAATATGGATAATGCCACGCAGAGGCGCCCGCGGTAGCGTTCCGGGCGCGGGAATTTTTGTAAAGCACGCGTTCATATGAACCCTGACACGCTGAAACGCGTGACGTAAATTTATGTATATATATAACCATCACATCAGTCTCCCACTTGGGCAGGCAGACGCTATTGATTTTTTGCTCCGCTACACTTCTGATGTAGCTCCTGCGCTTCCTCCTTTTATATGAGTTGTATGTATAGTTTATAGCCTATTTGCTTCAAAAATGCTGTACTCCGTCTGATCATAACAAAATAATAAATAAATAACGCACACACTCGTAGCCCCGCACTAGGGAAACCCTGTATCGCGGGTGGACAAACATAAACGTAAACAATCACAAATTACACCCACACTCACGAGAAAAATAAATGTAGGTCATACAAATATTTCTACCACCAAAATAAGGATAAATACGGTGTGTTTCCGGAAAGAAGCACCGTTGGACCCACGTGTACAATCTACGTCACCGAGATTATACACTCCTTATTGATTACCTAATTAGTGGGAAAGGGGCAACATAACACGATTCTTATCGATTTGCCCAAGAAATTAATTCTCTAACTTGCCTAGGAGTAATATTTTTAACCGACTTCAAAATGTAAAAAATTCATACAAAAAAAATTGTATTTAGTTTTGTATGTATGTTACGCGATAAGTTCCTACCGCTTGGTGCGCGACCAAGGGTTCCTTCGATTGGCCTTGTAGTGCTTTTTATTCATATAAATTGATTCTTATTGTATAATTGTAAGTCAATGGTGATTATAGTAAATTGTGATTAGAATTGACAAAAAGACTATATCTTTAAATACTATTTCTGAGTTTTGTTATAATTTTGACATTTGTGAACCGATTTTGATGATTCTTTTTTTCCATTTAAATATGAAGAAAATATTCCACCTCTAAGGGTACACTACTACTGTGATTTTTTTCAATAAAAGCTATATTTATTTATTTCCCACCGCTTTTATAGAGTATAATAATTAGGTTTTTTTCATATACTCTAGCACTTCGATTCCCATTGAGGGAGGCAGAGATTATTGATTGCCCCTTAACATGACCCTGACATACCTCTCTCGGTTCACTTGCATTGATCCACCATTTCATATAGGCCCTGTTATTCTTCTCATGGTACGTTATAATTACGTTTACCTAGACTTAATTAGATTCAATATTTTTCTCACGGGGAGCAGACCTGATGTCCGGAAATACAGGCATTGAGCCTAGTTTAGGCATCAGTCTTCCACAATATGTTTAGTTTATGTAGTATTTAACCCGTTCTTGGATAGCAACGACGTTTACCGTAAAAATAATCATTAGAATAAGATGGTACGGAGTTACCCGGATTCGCTATATGGATCTCAAAAAAACCAAATAGGGATTTCATAGTGCGACTTCCTAATCGTCGTCTTAGAGTGAATACGTCGTATGTGATTTCTATGTAATTTTTCAGGACGAATATAAAAATGTGGTGTAAAATGTAAACGCAATAATGTTTCTAGTTAGCATTTTAATTAGTTAAATATACGTCTATCAGATACTATATTATTTTAATAATATATTTGAGTTAGAAGTTTATAAGCTTTTCTTCAAGAAAAATCAATAAAAACGAACTATGTAAAAATGCGTGTTCCAGGTTTTCACGCTAAGGCAACGAAATGCATTCCTGTGTAATTGCCACCTACTGGTTTTCGTAAAATATAAGTACTTACAGTAACAATCATGCAATGGTTCTCCTTCACAGCACCGCAGCAGCCGAAGAACGCAACGATGAATACAATGATACCGATGATAATCAGCACCATTGGTGCCGATGTGTAGAACGCCTCATCGGTCAGGTCGATGTAGGGATGCGCGCTATACTCCGCTTTCGCACCCACGATCAGGATGATCAGACCCGTGATCTGAAAACAAAAATAGTCGTAACTATTTTTCGACGAAACGTTTTACACCGGACTGAAATTCCACTTTTTTGAATTTTTTTTTTATTGAATTTGAAAAATCTCCAACTCTTATAATTCAAGATTTAACTAAGCTTCAGAGGTGATCGCAAAAAAGCGTTTGTTTCGCTTCAGCTCGGTTTTCGTTCTTATTCATTGAATAATTTTTGCAAGACGTTTAGAGTGGTGACTCTCTAAACTTCGTTCAGTTTCGAATTCGAATTTCGAATCAAATCTTCCTACGCATATCAGATTCTCTGCCTCATCACTAACGTCGTAGGACGCGAACATTGTCTACATTTTTATGCATGAATTTATACAACTTGGGACGTGATAAGTGTTAAACAAAAAATACGTTGCCCTGAAAAATGTTACGACCACAGACATATATCTAGATGTGTCTGTGGTTACGTTTACTGAGGAGACAGATTTATATATCATAGTTAATATACATTGTGGCGGAACGGAATGGAAGCGAAATTTTGTAACGAAATTCTACGGACAACAGTGCATCAGACTATACATTTTTGTTCGAAAATCACCTCCAGTGCAACGGAACAAGATACGTCAATGTGTAGCTTGATGTGCTGTTGACTGTACATAGCATAAACAATTTTATTTCTATAGTGTACAAACTGAATATGAGACGGTTTTTTGGCATACATCTAGTTTGTATATCACCAGGTTGACAGAAAGTTCATTACATAGTATAATTACAAAAATTCGCTCAATGTAAATTGAGCCAATGCATTTCTTTTCTCTCTTTTAAAGAACTCGCGCTTATATTATAAATGTAATTTATACTACAATAATGTGTGAGACGATTACACCAATTATCCGGTATCTGACTTGGGAATTCCCTGCACTATGAGTACCAGAGTAACACCCGTCATTATAAAAGTAAAATATTGCATTGAGTAATTAATTCCGGGGCATTACGCAGATTTATGTTGTAGGTTACAAATGTAACAAAGTGACAGTTGCCAGTCACGAGGTTGACAAGTTTGTATAAAAAGTCAAGGCCGTAAAATTACACGTCGGTTCTAGTGCAACCGACCGCGACTATAGGTATTTATTTAAAACCAACCAAGAATACATGCGTTTTACAGTTTGCAGTAATTTGACATTTCTGCCATGTGAAATAGTAATAAAATTGTTCGTCCTTCACTTAGAGAATGGATAAGTCCTTCAGGACAGGCTAAGGCGTCTAATTAGCCATACAGCCATATCTTAAGTATAATTTTTCTTCAATAGTTTAATTTTCTGACATTTTTTCGCGGGATATCGATAAATTTTTACGGTGGCCATTTTGAAACACCCGTCATTACAAAAGTAAAATATTGCATTGAATGATATTAATGTTGTGTTGTTTGTTTTTAAATTATTTGCTATTTTTATTTATTTGTTTGCGGCCGTGCTCTAAAATGGGCAACAAAACAGGGACAATAATAGCAAATTATTGACGACAAATTAAAACCTCGTGTGGACAATGAAATGTTTAAAGTTTACATACATCGAGCAGTGGCTAAACTGCGGAAATTTTTCAGATGGGAAATCCCCAACTTCCTGTTATTATGATTATGAGTGATGTGGATGACAGATGACGTGACGAAATGTGTGCTTTAAATAGCAATAAAAGAAATCAATTTGTGTTTAATTTATTGTCATTTGTTTTATAAACATTTTGACGTCAAAAGAAAGCAAAATAACATTAATGAAATGAAGGAGGATTAAGTGGAACAAAAAATAAATAATCATTATAGAAAATATATGCCATTTAACTTATTCATAATCTGTTTCTTATGCTTATCAATAATAATAATATCAATAAACAAGAAATTCATTATGTCTAAGTAAGTCATCCAATTTTATGTCTAAAGTCAGAACAGTTGATAACTGATTAAATCACATTCAATGTTACTTTTAGTAAATAACAATGTTGAGTCAAGAAAGACAATAAAACTGTGCCTTGTGACTCATTGGGCTGACCATTAGGATAACAGGCAAGTGTACTTAAAAAAGGAAATGATATAAGCTTTATCAAGAGGTTTAAGTGGCTCTTTTCCAAGCAGTTAAAATGACATTGGTACTCCGTATCGAAAAAAATTGTTCTCTTTTTAAATAGGACAGTCATACAATCATCATCATCAGAATCAATAAAAACTTATAAATATGCAGTTACCTACCAACCTAAGAATTTTTCTGTTTTATAAAAGTACTATACTGTCATATTTTTCAAATATAAAATAATGTTATCCTTTTTTCCTTTTGTTTCACATTACTAGTAGTTGTGCAATCTATGCACTGAATCGGTTTTGAGTACATACATAATAAATTATACTACTTTATAGCACTTGAAACTAAGCACCTTGAAGCTAGGTACCTATTTAATTGGTATATTTATATGAACATAAAAAAGGTTAATATTATTATAAACATTCATCAAAAAAATATTTAAAAAAAGAACAAAGAACAAATGCGGGTTTTTCGATTGGTAACTGGATTAGGTTTCTATATAAACCAGCCTAAAAGGAATTTGCGTTCTAGAAAGTACCCAAAAGTACAAATTAATTGACTCACCGCAAAAAGAAGGTTGAAGCAAAAAAGTAGATACTTCACACAAGACATTCCGCCCCCGATTGCCATTTTTGGTGATTTATTTCCTTAGAAACACACAAAATTCTGGAACAAAAATATTGAACGTGAGTTCCCCTTCTTTACGCCTAAGGCAGTGTGCTTGGCAAGGTAAACATCGATTTTGCTGCGCCACTGCAAAATGTCGCAGGTAGACAACGAGATTACACACTAGCATTTTATTTTATCTAGAAAATACTACTTATCGATTCCAAAACGTACAAAAACTAAAGTTATAAAATATTTCGACGAAGAACTTACCGCCAAATTTGTTTTGCGCAGATAATATAAGCCGAAAACAAACAATACGTTCGTCGAGGCGTCAACCGAAGTAACTGTCTGTGCTGCCAACGTGATATTATTAAAATCTACCCAATCGATGACGGTTCAGTGTTGCTATAAAAAGCGATTTATGCAAAATTGTAGATGTTATTTTTATTCTTGTATTTTTTTTAA